GCTTTGCTCACAATGGCATTTTCTGCTTTCAAATGTTGTGCAAGTTTTACAACAATTTGCGCCAAACATCTATGGCAGAATTCTGAAAAAGGAAAAAGCGCAGGAAGGAAAAGAGATTTGAACATACCCGAAGAAAGGAACACGGCAGATGGCATATAGGTAATTTTATAACATTTTCAAAATGTCAGTTAATGTCTCATTTCATTCTCTGTCATTTTTAAGCCTTTAACTGCTTGAATTGGAATTTTATACATTCAATTTTATTTTATTTTTACGGATTTTCCCTTGCACTCGATGATAACCTGAAAATTTAACTTTTAAATATGACCTATTTCATTTTGTTTAATTTACTCTTTGGTCCTATGAAGTACAAATGATTTTATTTCTTTCATGGTATTGGTAGGACTCCTGTTAAATTAGCAACCCACTTAAATCAAGTTTATTCTTGAATTTCTGAATCCAAAATTCAAAATATGACAACTTTTAACTATTTCAGAGATGTTTAGTATTTTTGTTTTTTGATATACTGGAAAGCAAAACAAAACTAAAAGTCAGAACTATCAGTCGCCTGTGTCTAATTGCATGATGCTGCCAATAGTTTCGGGTTGCAGGAGACGCAGCCTGAAACTGCTAGCATATAATTTTAACTATTTCAGAGATGTTTAGCATTATTAAGGAATATTTAATTTTAATTTTAATCTGACTTTTAGAAAAGTAAGATTGGATAAAAGTTAAATTGGGTTAAGTGAATTGTGTTTGGATTGAAGTTTAAAAAAGTTAGTTTGTAAAAGTGAGATTGGTAAAAAATTATTTAGATTATGATTGAGTAAAAGTAAGTTTGTTTGAGTAAAAGAAATGGAACCTACATTTTGTCTCTCTCCACTTTTCCAACAGTATAAGCTACACTTTTTAGCTTTTGACTTAAGTATGGGTCCATTTGGATTAGTGGTAGAAAAAGTAGCTTATTTAGAATATGACTTTTTAGAAAAGTAAGATTCGACAAAAGTTAAATTAAATAAGTTGAGTTGTGTTTGGATTGAAATTTAAAAGTTAGTTTGTAAAAGTGAGATTGGTAAAAGATGATTTGGAATATGTTGAGTAAAAATAAGTTTGTTTAAGTAAAAAAAATAGGAACCAAAATTTGTCTTTCTCTCTCCACTTTTCCAACACTATAAGCTACAATTTTTACCTTTTCACTTAAGTATGTGATTTTAGCATAAGCTCTTAATCTTTTAAGCTCTCCCAAACACACTCTTATCAAAAGTACTTTTTATCCCAAAAGCTACTTAAAAGCTATTTAAACGCGGCTCCAAACAGGCACTTGTTTTGATGACTATTATATTTCTTTATCCATGGGGCATGGCTTCTGTCTCTCACTCCACTCTTCTTCCACTCTCTTCTCTCACCTCATCATCATCATCTTCTTCTTCCTCCTCCCCCATCCACTGTTCCTGTTCTTCCACAATCTCTCAGTCTCTTCGTTCCAAATTCCTATTGTCCTCACTGCCTCGATTCCTTTCCAATTAAGGTTAGACCCAAGAAGAAAGCAACGCGTCCTGAAGGGCTTTTGATGATCATCAATCCCATTTCGCTGTTCAACGGTGTGAGTAGTTCCACTTTTAACTTCGATACCCAGACCCTTCTCGCCACTGTTATTGTTCTCGCTGCAATTGCTCTCTCCTTGTTTCTTGGTCTTAAGGTAACAACTTTTGTGTTTCCTTCCTGTTTCTTCCATTTTGGTTTCTATCACTCGGATGCTCGGTTCTGTCCCATTCTTACAGAGTTTCAAATTGAAACTGAATCAGATTTTGGGTTGTGTAATGAAGTTATGCAGAAGCTTCTCTTACGGCGCCATTTACTTTGAGCTCATGTCTGGACTTGCAAAATGGGATTTTACACTTCTTCTGGAGTTGCAAAATGGGATTCCCCCCTCCCCCGGTCCTTCAATATCTCGTTTAGAAAATTTGCATTAGCTAAATGCATTGCACCCATTGATGCAGTCAATATTGCTTCCAATTTTTATACTGCGTCTGGTAACATTGTGGGTCAACGTTGATTCTTCTTCTGCTAATGTGATGAGGTTTTTACAGGGGGATCCTGTGCCTTGTGAGCGTTGTGGCGGCAGGCGGTAATGATCTTTCTATATCTCGACTTCAGATTGTTGTGCTTTACTCACAATGGGCATTTTCTGCTTTCAAATGTTGTGCAAGTTTTACAATAATCCACAACAAACATATGTGGCAGAATTCTGAAGAAGAAAAAAAACACAGGAAGGAAAAGAGATTTGAACATCCCCCGAAGAAAGGAACAGGGCAGTGTCGCGAATCAAAAGGGCATATAGGTAATTTTATAATATTTTCAAAATGTCAATTCATGCCTCATTTCATTCTTTGTCATTTGTAAGCATTAGTTGCTTGAATTAGAAATTCGTATATTTAGATTTTTTTTTTTTACGGATTTTCCCTTGTACTAGATGCTAACCTGAAAATTTAACTTTTAAATATGACCTATTTCATTTTATTTAATTTACTCTTTAGTCCTATGAAGTACAAATATTTTATTTTTTCATGGTATTGGTAGGACTCTTGTTAAAATAGGTTTAGTAACCTACTTAAATCAAGTTTATTCTTGAGTTTCTAAACCCAAAATTCAAAATATGACAATTTTTAACTATTTCAGAGATATTTAGCATTATTAAGGAATATTTAATTTTAATTTAATTGTTATGTTTTATTATTAATTGTTGTTTGCATATAATTTTAAAATTTAAAAATATTCTGTTATTAATTTTTAGGATTAGATTGAAACCTATAAACAATATCTGAACACCTATACTTTGTTCGTCTTATAATTTGATTAAATAGTAGACTGGCATAACTTCTCGTATCTTTTTTTCTCTGCCAACTTTAAAGCATAACTTCTAGAATACATGCATGAGAATTATAATTTGACAAGAGTGAAAACAATGCACAACAAAAAGGAAGCTGCATATGTTGTTTTTAGTCACTAAATAAATGTAATAACGTGAAAAATATAAATATGTACAAAAGATTTAATTTGTAGCAAGCGCATGCCTCCATTTTGTTTAAGCTCACTGTCAAGTGGTTGTTCCAACTTTTCTCACTGCTTGGAAGGGGCTGGGCTCTCCATCATCGAACTCATCATCTACATTCATCAATGAACTTATCATCAATAGTGCTGACACTACAGCCTTCGTCACTACTTGTGTTTCGCCGTCTCTCAACATCTTCTTTACACAACACACGCCACCCACACTGCACTATTTTCAAAGGTGACTCCTCTGGTTTATCCAGTATGGAAAAAACCATTTGAAGCGGTTTTTCCACGACAAATGAGGAAAAACGAATGTAAATGATACACAGTTGGTGGCAAAATCTGGACTGCGCAAAAGTGGGACAAACACGGAGTGAATTTGGATATTCACCTTCACAAACTCTATAAGTCCAACAAAGTGGGGCAAAAGCATCATAGTTTGCATGTCCCAAATCATGTTCTAGCACTAGGCATACAGCTATGCCCCACCATTCACTTGAACAGCATGAATCAGGCTTATTTACTATGAATGACACATTTGTTGGAGGAAACCCATCTGAAAAATCTTTCTCACAAAAATAGCTTTGATTGTGAAACCATGATGGCACTTCACTACCAGGAATAGTTAATATGCGAGTCGGTTGCAGGAAGAAGTCATCCTGTGATGAAAATTATTCATGCTAAATGTATACTAATTAATGTATAAGAAATAGCCAGATAAGAAAATCAAATAAATTAGAAATCCAAGAGATTCAAATAACTCACAACTTGTGAATTGTTCCAACTCACAATTCCAGACATCATCTCACTGACAGCGTAAACTTTACATCCATCTCGTATTGAAACTTCAGATCGGCATGGAGTCTATAACAAAAAATTTGGGATGTTATGGAATTATAATGACTGATGTGGAACAAATGATAGTGAAGAGAACTACAACAAACCTGATATTCAAATTCCTCAGTGAATTCCCATAGTTGCTGTGAACACACATAATTTTTCAATAATGGACAATCACCAGCATCTATCACTGACAGGTTTGCTGGAAGTTGAGGCAAAGACCGAAGCCTTGGGCAATCATTCAAATAAATAAGTTCAAGCTTTCGAAGTTTGGAAATGAGGCTCAAAGGAATTTCAACAAAATTATTTCCACCCAAACCTAATGCTGTCAATGATGATAAATTGCCTATTTCACTGAATAGTGATTCATCATCAAGATTGCAATAATTTAAATTTAACTGGACCAAAGATGATAGATTTGAAAAAGATGGAGACCACAAAAACTTAGTTGAACTTGAAGGCCTTTGAAGCCTAAATGCCCGCTTGAGAAGGGAGAAGTGATTCCATGAGGATGATTGTGCAGAAGCATTGCATGCACAAGAGATAATACTTTCAAATTATTGAGGGACGAAGGCACTTCTTTTAGAGCGGTTCCACTCACATCAAGCTCCTCCAATGCCTCATTTTCATTCAAATTCTCTGGAAGCCTTGACAACTTTGAGCAACCACGAATATTGATCTTCTTTATAGCTTTCAATTTTTTAAAATCACTTGGAAGACATACCAGGTTTTTGCAATACTCTAAATTTAATATAGCAAGGCCAGTCAAATTGACCAATGATTGAGGTAGTTTGGATATAGCAGTCCCTTTTAGATTAAGCTCTGATAAACATGTCATACCTTTACCAAACTCAGGAAGCCTTTTAACTTTTGAACAACCAGAGAGAATAAATGTCTCTAAGCATTCATCTCCAATTTGGTTGGAAGGTTTTTAATACTTTTGCAACCTTTAAAATTAACAATGACAAGATTCTTGTGTTGCCCGAGAGAGCAGTGAACTTCAACAAGCTTTGTACACCCTTCAAGAATTAATCTTTGAAGATTAGGAGTTCTATCAAAATTTGATGTTCTCATCAGGTTTGTTGAATGACTCAAATCAATGAACTTTAGACTTTGTGGAAACTGCAAAGAACCAAAAAAAAAAAGCCTTCAAAAACCAAGAACTAGCAAGTGATACGCATGCAATAAATTATAGACAAATAAATTTAAGCAAAGGACCTTAATTACCTGATCTCCCTCCAAAGTTCCTTTAATTTGCTGTGTTGCATTTTGAGATCAACAAGTTCATCAAATTGAGTTTGACCTGGAAGGGAATCTAAAGGATACTCCTTCCAATCTATGACTTTCAGTGAATTGGGAAGACAGTTAAGTCCATGAAGAAGATTCAATTGGTCATGTGAAGAATGTGATATGATAAGTAACTTGAGATTACTCATATTTGAGAAGGCTTTAGGGTCCAAATATATGACATCTGGTTTGTCAAATTGTACCACTATACCACGTATTGCTTCAGTTCCCTATATATAAAACAATAAGTCAATCAAACTAATAATAACATGAAAAATGCATGGAATATATTACTAAATTAATAATGCATAATCACAGAAAAGGGGGAGAGTGTTACCCTCATATTTCTAAGCACAAGACTAGCATCCTCCAAGGACCATATCCTACTACGATTGCCAGCATCATGGGTGATTCGGAAAAACAATTTCCTTGCCCATTTCTTGAAGCCTATCATGCACCCTCAAGCGCCCTTTAGCTTCAGTTACCAATGATTTCTGAATAAGAGTTCTTATTCCGATTATTGGGTGAAGACCACTATTTTCTAAAATTTGTATGACATCATCCTTGCGCAAGCCATTGAAAAAGCAAGCAATATCTAAGAATATATTCTTCTCATTATATCGCAGTCCATCAAAGCTCACTTTAAGTATATCAAAAAGGCCATCTAAAGGAATCTTCTTGAGTGCATTCTCCCATTCTGGTATGCTTCTTCCACAAAGAAATGAACCAAGCACTTTGATTGCCAAAGGAAGGTTTTGAGCAGAATTAATCGCCCTTCTAGAAAGCTCCAAATAATCTTCATTTGGCTGATCTCTTTTGAAAGCTGTTTGAATAAAAAGTTGAAGGGATTCATCGGGACTTAAGAAATTCATTTCATACTGAGAAACTACACCATGCAACAATAACACATGTTGATCTCTAGTTGTTATTATTATTCTGCTCCCTTTGCCAAACCATCCTTCCTTTCCCGCCAAATTCTCAAGTTGGCTTATGTCACTCACATCATCAAGGACAAGTAGAACTTTTTTACTGCATAACATTCTTCTCATCAGCTTTCTTCCTTCATAACAGTCACACACTTCCATTCTGATTGATTTTTTCAAACGGGAAAGAAGTTTTTGTTGCAGTGAAATTAAACCACCATCTTTTACAGATTCCTCTCTAACATTATGAAGAAATAAATGAACTTCATAGTTTCTGTGTATTCTCTCATAAACAGCTCTAGCAAGAGTAGTTTTGCCTAACCCTCCCATTCCCCATATTCCTACAAATTGAACTTCCTCTGATTTATTCGCTAGAAATGAATCAAAATCTGCTATTTTCTCATCAATTCCAACAAGTCCATCATCAACACCTTCATCATTTGAATCGAATTGTGGGTGATCAACTATTCTTGACCTCACATTTTCAGTAACTATTTCAATGAGTTTCGTTTCATACCTAAAAAGATAACAGAATAATAACATTAATATTAAGCGTAGCCCAAAGTCATGATAATTTTTTGAAGTCATAGAAAATACCAATTTTCAGAGCTCCATCCAGCCAAGTCAGCAACTTCTCTCAAGGCATCCCTCCATCTTTGCACCTTCACTTTGTCATGTGCAAATTTCTGTTCAAGCTTTTCAAAGGCTCTTGCAAAACTTCCTTTCTGATGCCGAACATCAGACGGATCTATGCCATAAAAGATTGGAAATATATGAAGGCCTAACTCTTTCTTGCAATGAAGGATCTTTAGGAGTTCATCTAAGCACCATGTGGATGCAGCATAGTTTTCAGAGAGACAATAATTGCTGACAAAGATTCTTCAATTGCTTGAAGCAAACTTGGTTTGATAATTTCTCCCCTCCCAAGTTCTTCCTCATCTCTAAAGGTTATCAGTCCATTGTGACACAAAGCAGCATATAAGTGGTCTGCAAAATTCTTACGAGTGTCTTCTCCTCGAAAACTTAAAAACACCTCATACTTGTGTCTTCTATTTGAACGGCAATAGCTTGAAGAATATCCAACTTCTTGATCATCGAGTGCCATTGTGATAATTCAGAAGCTGAACCATTCAAAATATAAATACAACCATCAGACTGTGAACCAACTTTAAACCCAATCTGAGATAGAACATAGGTTCTTGCACAGATTAAAGAAAGAAAGTATAATCCCAAAATGCATTATCAACTATATATAAATGCATTTTTATTATTAAATAAGGCAGAAATTGAGAAGAATATTAGATTAGATTATAAGTACTTTATACCTATTTAATTTTGATTATTTTGTTTTTCTTGATTGATTTTATGAATATAAGAATGAAATTATCAGCTCAAGTTTCTCATTTGACTGTTTTAGCCGTGTTCCTCTAGGCAAAGCTGCTTTTAATTAGTTTACTTGAAAAACAGAAAAGCATGGTTGTCTTATGTGATTCCTCATCAGGAAAATTTCAGTCAGCCCCCTCTAAGCAAACTTATTTTTCAACACCCTCCAAAGATTTTGAAACTTCATTCCACCCTTTTGACCAAAATGAAATTAAATCTTATGGGTGAAAAGACCATTATGCCCTTGCATTATCTTTTTTTTTCAAAAAGGTTAAACTAAAGTGACTTACAACACAAATTAAGGCAATTTACAAGATATATACAGGAACTCACAACTCTATTGAGGTTCTATGAAGAGAAAAGTTAAATGTCAAGAATTCCATAAACAACTAAAATAAGGCAATTTACAACACAAAATAGGCGATTTATGAGAGGTACACAAGAATTCACAACTGTAATTGAGGTTCTGTGGAGATCGAGATAAGTTAAATTTCAAGGGTTGCATGAATAACTAAAATAAGACAATTTACAATACAAATTAGACAATTTATGTGAGGTATATGAAAATTCTTAACAACATACAAGATAACTAACAACAAAAATTAGACAAAAATAGGTTCTTGTGAGTGGCCTAATTGATTTGTAGTTAATTAAAAAGTAATTGTGAACCCCTTAATGCTCTAACGACCGAAGCAATTTTATTTCTTTTATTGCTTGCTATTTATAATTTTATATACGTATTTCTTTTCCTAATAAATTTCAATTGTGTTGGGTTGGAATTAATTGGATTGACGAACCTCAACTTAAGCTTGACAACTAAAATACTAAGGGTAAATTTTATTAATATGATTGGCTCTGTACTCCACCTTAATTATCATCTATCCAAGCTTAATTAAAGAGTTGGGTAACACCAATTTTCATTGCAAATCACCTTGTTTTATTTGTTCATGCAATCCTTAACACTTAATTTTTCTTTCCACAGAACCTCAATCGGAGTTGTGAATTCTCATATGCCTCTTGTAAATCACCTAATTTGTAATAGATTATTTTATTTCAGTTGTTCATGCAATCCTTAACATTTAACTTTTCTCTCCACTAAACCACAAGTGGAATTATAAATTCCCTTGTACTTCGTGTAAATTGTCTAATTTGTGTTGTAAATTGTTTTATTTTAGTTGTTTATTTATAGTTGAACACTTGTATTTTTTTTCGTTATATATATTTCTCTTACATTATATGACTAAATGGATCGATGGCTTGGTTGTCATAATCTTTTTCATATACTAAAGGATCATGGGTTTAAATTTCCCCTTGGCCAATTATTTCAAAAATAAAATTCTCTAGCAACTGGAGCTCTGATGACTAGTCACTGGCACTTTAATGGCCAGCTGTTAGAGATCAAAGCTCCATCTATTGACTGGCCACTAATGCTCTAATGACCGATTGTTGAAGGTTAGAACTCCGATGGTGGTTGATCCTTTTTTTAAAAGACTAATAATGATGATGATGATGATGATGATGATGCAAGAGCAAAATGGTCTTTCATCCATACATTTAATTTCACTTTGGTCAAAAAGGGTGGAATGAAGTTTCATAATCTTCTTTGGCCAAAAAAAAAAGTTTCATAATCTTCTAGGGGCTGTTGGAGAATAAGTTGGCTTAGAGGGAGTTGACTGAAATCTTCCCATCTTCAAAAAGCATTGGAGTCCAAGACTGGGATAAAGTGTTTAGTCAAGACATCTTTAGTTTCTTCCTTTTCTATTAACTCGAAACATGTGGACCCTAACCATGCAAGGACTATGAAAAGAAATTAATCATTTTAAAGCATAACAAACTTTGAGAATTGCATAGGAAGACCATCCTTTGGCCCCAAAAAAAAAAGAATGAAAGCTGATACCATTATTAGTTAATCAGATGGTATGAAATTGGTAATTACGTACGGTTAAGAAATAATAGATAAAAACTTACATGAGGAGAAATTTTGAAATGGTCCCTCACTAATAAAAACACATTGGTCCCATTTGATATGAAACATTGAGAGCAAGAGATAGAATTGGGATTGATACTGAGAAAATACATTAAAAGAGTGGTTAATGTGAGTAATTATTTGCTACATATAGAATTGGCAATCCATGTGGAATGAGGAAATATCACCCAGTCCCACCTATATGGGTTTGCCAAATCTCAAGTAGCAAGCAATCCTCACATCAGATTCCTTGATTCCACTTACATGGGTTTGCCGCATCTTACGTAACAATTAATCACTCATGTTAAATAATTTTTTAATGTATTTTCTAAATCTCAATTCTAATTCTGACATTTCATTCCCAATACTTTACGCCAAATGGGACCATAGTTCATTTTCACGTCGAATTTATTACTTTACTCGCATTTAAGCTTAGAATAAAAATTGAAAAACTATCAACAACTACAAAGACTTTTCCTTGTGGTATGATATGGGCATGACAATGCATTAAAGAAAGGAAGAAAAATTATGGTCAAGGACCAACTTTGCAAATGTTCTTGTTCTTAAAGATCCTGAATAAGGAATTTTCTAGCAGAAATATGTTGTTACTTGCAAATCAATTGGTGTCAAAACCTATTAGAAAGTATGGGAACCAAACTTGATTTTAAAAATAGCCTCTGTCTCCCTGTTTGATAGTGTCAATTTTCGTGGATATGGATCATTTTGTGAAATTTTGGAAGAATATAGCATCTTCCATAAAATGGAACGCATCGTGGGAGATTCAGTGCCAGCACGGGAGTGAATTATTGGCGAAGGATTTTCGTGGTAGGATTTGGGCAAACGACTTCTTGGATAGATTCCGAAAACAATTATACAAACCAACTAGACCATTATTCAAAAATAAATATATATCAAAACGAACCAAACAATTTAGATTGGCTACACACGCGACAGAGAGTACAAATATAGTTGGAAGTGGTGTGTCTCATGCTTTGAATATGGAAGCCCTAATGAAAGCGAAACTAGGAGAAACAAGAATGAAGAGAAACAAAGAAACCCGATTCAAATTCTGAAACGAATGAAGTAAATAAAAAGAGAAAGTTACTTACTCAAGTTCTTGGAAGGTATACAGGGATGATCTGATGCCTGAGAAGAAGGAAGAAGATGAGGTAACAATAGCAGTAGTGTCCTCTTTGATGAATTGTGACTTGCTTGACTTAGTGGAGAAGATGTTTCAAAGTGATGAAATCCTTTAAACAAATTTGATGGATGCGGGCCCCGTCAAAAAGTATATGTATTAATTCATCCATTACCATTAAGTCTTCTTCTTCTTCCTTGAAAAGCATACCGTTTTGTGTTCTTTTAAGGAAAAAATGTTTTGCGCGTAAGATCAGATAAGGGGCAGCCACTCACTCCTCGTCTTCCAAAAGGGATGTGTTTAAATTCATATAAGTGCGTCTCTATATGTATATATTTTTTCCAATTCTAAATGTAAAATCTATTTTATAATATAATTTATATTATAAAATAAATTTTATATTTAGTACTGAAGGAATTTTTTTTTTTTGTCCCACTTGGGACGCAACTTACAATGTGAATGCAGCACCACAAACTATTGTACCAGCAAACAAAAGTGAGGATGGCAAGGGCCACGGGAAAAGTGACTGCTTTGCATTTTCCTGTGGCTCCACACGCTTTACTTTATATTCCCGCCATTTTTCTATTTCCTTGTCTTTGACCCAACTTGCATCGTAGACTCCACCACTCTTTCCTCCTTACTTCGTGGTAACTGGTAAGTATATACAGAACAATTTTTTAAGAATCTCAATTAGGAGTGTTTGTGAGATAATCAGAACAAGACGGCCTTTCTCTCTCCTGTTCTTTCCTATTCCAATAATATCTCATCATGTTATGAACGGGATAGGGACATCTCTTTTTTTTTTTTAATTTCAAAACCAAATATATTTGGGATATAAGAAATTATGGTAAAAATTCTACAAAAAATATATTAAAAATT